AATTTTTTTTTCTGTTTTGAAAACTTCATCTCAGTCTGACTCTATGGTACTTGAACAGATTTTAGCATAAGTTTTCTCTGATTTTTGTTTTTCTTTCAGTTTGATTGATGTCTGGCATACTTCTTGAAAATGGAGGCTGGGTGGAGTATTGGCAGGCTGTCTTCTGAGTTGTTTGTTTTTTGTTTGTTTGTTTTGTTTGGTACCAGGGATTGAACTTGGGCCCTTGTGAGGCAGGAGGCAGAACCACTGAACCAAATCCCCAGCCGTATTGGTTTGTTTGTTTTCATTCTTGGCTGCATCGATGGATCTATATGTTACAATATAATAAAATTAGAAGACTAACAGTAAAATGCAACAAATAGATTAATATTAAGTTGCAAACTTTCCTTTTCAAAGCAAAGATTCTTTAATATATTAATTCAAGCATTAGAACCTTCTAAATTAATAGTGCAGAAGACCTAGCTCTATGCACTGATGACCTTAAGGAGGCATAGGCAATCTAAAATTTCACAGTGGGAGCGGGACAGACTTTTAATAAATAAGAGGATAATGGATCACAGCATGCTATTTGAATATTGTTATATGGCAGCTTTGAAAAGTACTTTATCCCTTGGATTTCTAGTCACAGAATTTTTCAGACGTCTCTACAAAATGAATTCTGAACAAAATTTACTGGCTGTAACATCTGAGAAGAAAAGGACAACATTAAAATGACTCAGTGTTTCATTGAACATATGTCAAATGTGACATTCCATCAGCTATGTTGTTGATCGCAACATTATGTCATTTTATAGCTTAAATCATCCCGTGGTTTGCGGTTTACATATAAACTACATTTACTGTGGGTGCCAACCAAATCTCAGAATTATGCCCACTAATTCTGATTGGTCAACTCTCGGTGTTCTGTCCATCCTGGACTCAGGGTGTTTCATGCTATCTGTGGCAAGCCATGGTCCAGGTCATATGTTTCCTTTCTGGAGCTGGTAGGATGAGAACCTCAGCAAATGAGAGGAGGAAAGGGAGGATTTCAAAAAGAACACAAGGGAACTCATTTAAAAAATGGGGACTGGAGTTAAGACGAACACCCACCAGGAGCATCCCCTGCTTTAGAGGTATAAAAACTCAGTCCAGACCAACCTTACTCCTCTTAGAGAACCTAAGTGTATGCAAATCTAATGCATTTTTAATGAGAATTCACTGGGACCCTGCTTTGCCAGGCTTTTTCAGCAGTGCATTCACGACCCTGATCCTTACTTGTGCATATCTCCTTTGAACCCTGACGTGCACCTGTCCAAAATGCTCTGCTTGTCTTAGCTTGTGCACAAGGTGGAAAAGTGTACTGAATTTGCTCACATAGCCTCTCTGGAGATGGAACAATGCAGTCAATTCAGTCCCTAGTCATCTAAAAATGAAGCTTATTCCTCATACTTCAGGCTACATTTACCAAGTCTCATGGGAAGTTTTTCTTTAAACAAGTCTACAGTACTTATTTCAGGCTTGACAAAGTTGGTTACTTATTAACAGAGAAGGGAGGATACATTTAAAATCCATGTGTTGTGAACAACTGAAAACCTACGAATAATACCTGGACAGTAGATCTTCCTTGGTCAGTCGTGGGAGAAAACTGGGCTGTGAACTCCAATAGTTAAGGGGCAGGGAATATTCTTGGGTCAGGAATAGACAGCATACCCAGGTTTAACCAAGCAGTGTAAACAGGCTCATTTCTGAGACCTAATTGAGATACCCAGGAACTAGTCTTTCTTGTGCTAGGGGGTGCTCCTGTTGGTATATGAGCCCAAAGCTGTCAACCACAGGGATGGTCTGTTATATAAGCATGTGTTGCCGTTCCTTGATAGTGAGCAAGGACTGTGTGACCCTGAAAATTTCAGTCAAATTAGAAGAGAGTCAACTTCCACCATAGATTGCTGAATTAAAATTGAAGAGCTCTAGAACTTCTTTAGGGACCATGACAAGAACATTTTATTAATAAACTGGCTTTTATATCAACAGAGATCAAGGCAAAGAAAAGAAATCCTTCAGAGTGTTTCAAGCAGAAAGTTGTCAGTGCTGTAGCAACGTCCTCTGAACCTGGAACACTAAAATCTCAATCAGGCAGAGGCGTAGTAGAGCAGAAATGTGGCCACTGTCCTTCAGATATTTATGTCCTTTTAATTAGTAGAACCCAGATGCAAAGGAGTCATAGAAATATAGTGTTTAACTTCTGGCCTTGCTAACCAAAGAAAGAGTGGAGCAGAGTTATATGGAGGCAATCTACAGGATCCATTCTCATTTTTTAAAACAGGCTTCCCTAGAATTTTAGTAATGAAGTCTCTTTTTGTTGAAGAGAAGCTACTTGTCTATGACATTGAAATCATACTAAGATTCAAACTCACTAAAAAGGAATTGCACGTTTTCACTTTAAAATTGTAAAATTGTATTTATAAACTTACAGACAGTAAAATACCCATTGTCAGTGTAAGTTACATAAATTTTGAAAAGTGCACTGCATTGTGTACTGGCATACTTAGGATACAGAATAGTTCCATTACTCCTAAAAATGCCTGTCTACTGCTTCTTTGTATTCAAGCCCTCTCCCTATCTGTGCCCCCTGGTAACCACTGATCTGTTCTCTGTCACTGCTAGCACCACTTTTTCCAGATTGTCATACAAAGGAATTACGCAGTATTTATTGTCTGACATTAGTATAAAGCACTTGAATTTCATCTGTTATATGTACAGATAATTCTTATCTTTTTATTACTGAACAACATGTCATTGTATGTGTCTGCCATTCGTTACTTGCATTTTGAGAATATCACATATTTCCTTCTATTGGAAGTCTCCATTTTTAATTTTTTTACTTTTTTCTGTGCTGGGGATTGAACTCAAGATCTCACACATGTGATGCAAGTGTTTTACCACTGAGCTACCCCCCCAGCTCTTCCATATATATATATATTTTTAAATACATGGATTTTATGAACACAACTTTGTCTCCTGCTCATGATTTAAAACAAAACCAAGCCAAAAAAAAAAAGAAGCTAAGTGTCTTCCCTTTCCTGGGTGACTTCAAGCTAAGTATTCTTTACTGATATTGATAAGGTTTTTAGTCTAATTATGACTCTTGAATAGAAGCAGGATAATTAGACAAATCTCAAAGGATGGATCTCTTTCCATCCTGATATTTAGACCAGGTGTGCTACCTGGAGTGTAATAAGTGACTGTGTATACTAACCCAATGAGTTTTCCAAAAGACCGAAATACTTTCTAAATGAATTTTTGTTGATTAGTTTCAAACTAGAACTGAAAGGCCAGAGAAGGCCACCTCAATTTTCATTTGAAAATATGGAATCATTTTTTAGTCCTATTCACAGAAAAAGCCTTTCCTCTAGACAAATTTCAGCATATTTTGATGATTCATTGTAGAAATTGGATTATCCTTTAAAGTAGGAAGAAACACTATTAGCCAACAGCTAAGAAAAAAGTTACATCATCCAACCTCCAGTTCCTAAAGGCTGCCTTGGGCAGGATGTAATTATCCAACTTTGGATCCCTCCAGCCCTGAAAGATTAGCTTCTGTCTCTTTTCTGAAGTTTTTGTGATTGTTCATTTTCTTGTGTTCCTTGGTTGTCTACTCTAAATCTTATTTGAAAGCAGTACCCTGACAGGCATGCTGAACTGTCAGGGATAAAGGAACTAAGAAGTTTGTTTCTGCTTCTTTTACCCTAGACATCCTGAGTACTACATTTTTTTAATCTCCCAACCTTATCAGGTGACTAGTATTATTATCAATATGTAGCAGTCAAGGAAACTGAGATTGAAAGAAGTTAAGTTCCTTCCAAAGATCAGCAAATTTCTTCCAGAAGGTTTGAGTCTGGTGCTGTCGGGTAACAAATTTGTGCTTAAACACTAACCAGAGCTTTTCCTTTGCATTTATGCTTGGTGACATTCAGGAGACACTGACTTCTGTCAGTGCTATTTTACATACATATAATTATGTACATCGATAATTAAGTGCTCCTAAAATTAAGACAATACCTGCTTATCCACATTACTTACCTCCATAAACTGTTCCAGAACAATGTGCATCATGGGTCAATAGCACCTCCTGCATAAAATGCTTTGTGGACCAGTGGGATTGTTACTCAGAAACACTGAGCTTCTGCCAAGAAGAGTCACCCAAATGGCAAATGCAGTGGAATTCTTTGTAACACTTGAACCTGAAGTCAGAAGTCACATTGAACATTCAGGATAACTTCATTACCTGGGGCTTTTTAGAGGGTGGGCTTATTGGATTTTGGAAGGACATGATTTGACATGATGTCTTCCAGCCTTCCTAACACAGAACTTCATTGCAATGAGGTTCTGCTGTATCATTTGAAAATAATTTGATAAGTTAAATCAGATTAAGGTCCTGTTCCTAAAACCTTGCAACAAGTACCTGAATAGACATTTTAAAATGTTTTACCAACAAGAATACTGGCTAGTAGTCAGACATCCATGATGCAGCTTTACTAACACTTGACCTCCTGTCATCGTCATCAGAGTGGTTGCCAGTCTCTATCTTAAACTATCAAATGTCTGGATCTATCCCCCATCACCTCTCTTTTTACTAACTAACCCAACACTGCACTGAATGCAAGCCTGGACAGCTCAGTTTTAGCACTTTCAAAACATATTTCATTGTGGTAAGTCATGTACTCGTTAGGACCATTTGTGCAAAGCAAATGAGCTGTAGGAGCTCTCATTTGGGTGTCATTAATTAAATTGGTTTTGAGTGTGTTCTCCTGCAAATGAGTGACAAATTTTTTAGTCAGTCTACTCTTAAAGTAAGAAGATGGTCTTGGTGACATCAGGTGAGATAACTTGTTCCTTGGTTGAATGGAAAGGTCTTTATATTTCGTTCAGTGTTAGTAATGACCTTGACTTACCTATAAACTTCTGATTAAACTAATTATTTTTTTCTTTTCATTTTTTACTCTCTTGCATACCTCATATAGTGTTGGATACACAGTAAGTATTTTCTGTATTTTGTTTTCAGAACAAGGAGAAAATTCAGAAAGCTGGAAATCTTTGGTTGATTTTAATCATTAGTATGCATTTGATTTTTAAAAATGTATTAAACATTGCATGTGTAAGCTGTGTACTTGAACATAATTCCAAGAATCATCCAGGAGTAATAATGATGTACCTACTTTTGCAAAGCATTTAATCAAGGACAAGAACCCTACAAAATGAGTGTAGAATAATGCCACTACTCCTTTTATTATTACTCCTGCCTGACATTTATTGAGCAATGACTAAACGTCAGACTTTCTTCTTGGTTATTTGTACATCAATTCTTTTATTTCTCAAAGTAAACCTTTTGAAATGAGCACTGTGATTATTCTCATTTTACAAATGTGGAAACTGAAACACAGAAGTTGAGTCACTTGTTGAAAATCACACAGCCCTAAAAGATTTCCCTGGCATTTGAAACCAGGCAGTGGACTATAGAGGTCCTCATTTTATATAGTGGTCTCCTGGTTAGACAGGAGAAATGGGATCACAAGTTAGCCCCACACTCTGAGTTATTGGTTTGAGATGGCTTCTCTGAGTTAATGGTATCTGTGCGAAGTCATAGATGATTTGTAGCAATTAGTCAAGTAAAGAAAGCAGAAGACAAGGGTGTAAGAATGTTCTCTGGATGGAACACCATACACACAAATAGTCATTGTGTTTGTAGTGGGAGGGAGAGAGGAGAGAAGAGAGGGAGATAGGAAGGAAGGAGATTGGGTAGGATGATAAGTGTGATGCTGGAGCCATATTAGGTAAGTCTTGGTTAACCTGTGTTACTAAATGTGGGTTTTTATCTTGTGGATGATGGTGAGCCAGTGCAGAACTTTATCATGTGTGTGACAAAACCTACATTTTTAGAAATATTTGTTGAGACCCTGGATAAGATTTGAGGAAAGGGTCAGGAGAAGACTCCAGGATGAAAACTTAACTCAGAGGTGATACAAACTCAACCCAGGGTGGGGTGAAAACCAGGCAAATTCCAGGAATCTAGGGGATACGAGGGGGAGCGCTTCTTAAGAGATTGGGCGCATGGGAGAGTGAAATGAGGGGAGTCCCATTTAGAATATTTTGAGGAACAAAATTCTAATTTCATAATTTCTGCTGCTTTAGGCCAACATTTTATTATTCTTACAGTTTATTTCTTTGTGGAAAGGAAACAGCAAAACAAATGTTAGAGGAACAGGTATACATGTTTTCTGTGGAGTCCTGGTCCACTTGACTTTCTTTTGTAATGCTGTACTTTCTTGAGGGGATGCTACTTGTGCTGTCAGAGACTTTAAGTAAACTTTTCATGCATGTAGACTCTTAAGAATAGCAGTGCTAATCCCTCTAATTTGCCATCAAAAAGAGAGTGAAACACAAAAACAGGACTAAAGAAATTTTGCTAGTCTTCTTTAGCATAAAGGATGCAATACTCCTGAGCTGTTAACACTGACTAGGACTTTTACCTCCCACATAACCGTATTCTGACCTTATTCTACCTATAGAAATAAGCACAATTTTGAAATGGGAAGTATATGTGAACCCTCAGGTGTATGACTGGGAGCAGCAAAAGCTATTTCTGCTGCTCTTGGGTAACACGTATTTATAATGGAAAGTTCTATCTTTAAACATACCAGAGTGTTCAAGAAGAAACTTTATTCTGTCCTTTGAGAACCAGGCCTTGTGTTTTTCCTCTGCTCTTTGATGGAATACTGGTCAACAGAAATTGTGCTGCTTTTTAGGGCTTCTGTCTTTACTGATAGATTTTATCTGTGGTGTCAAGGAGCAAATAAATAGATCCTGTAAACATGTCTCATTATATTATGGTTTTGTGTTCTCCAGACGATCCAAGTTTTCACAGGACAAAATTTCTGCCTCATTTAAAACTTTACAAAGTCTGATCCCTTTCCTCTTTCCCCCTTTTAATTGTGTAATGTTTATTCACTCAAGTGTAAGAAAGATATAATCGTACGTAATGATGCTTGAAGAAATTCACTTTGGAACTCTTAATGTAACAAAGGCTTTCTAGAATATACTACATGGGAGAAAACACTGGTTTTTATATGTACACAAATGATGATTTATATTTCTTATGGAACAGCATTTTGGGTGGGGAAGAAACAGGTGATATATTATTAAATGAGAAGCTATTGATGTGAGAGCCATAAAATAGAGGGAAGAATGTGGCATGCTTGCTGCTGATACTCTTTACCTCATGACCTTCCCAAAAGGTAAGCAGTGATAGGATCCTTTTCGCCATACACAAAGAAAGTGAGATAGGGAATTTTAAATGTACCTGTTAAATATGGAACCAGGAAAAGCTGGCAGTGAATTTGGACCTAACTATTTTGATTTGCAAGTTTATAAGGATGCCTACAGGGCTGTTTCAGACGAGAGTGCAGTAGGAAGGCAGAGAGGATAATGGAGAAAAGGAAAGAGAGGAAAAATGTTGCATGAGTAAATTAGCTGCTGACCAATGAGGGCCATATATGACCCAGTGTGGTTCAAGCTTATTTTTTCCCCATCTAAATATATGGGGCAAGTGTAGGAGTTGGTAGGCCTGCCAGCTGTTTTCCTCTAATGAGGAAACTAGGCTAATGACAGCTTGGTCTTCTTGAACATGTTGCTTCCAAGTTTAACTGGAGATGATGACCTCAAGCTGAAAGGAGTAAATCACCAAGAGGAAGGAATGTGTTGGGGAGAATTTTCTCGGCCATGCCTACATGGACACAAATTACTTCCAGTCACATTTCATAGGGCAGCGCTCAGATGTAGGCCTCAGAAGCGGGGAGTAATACATGGACTTAGCTGAACTGTCAAGAAACAATAATCATGAGTCCCCATTAGAATCATATCTCTGTGTATGTATTTATATTTTATTCTGTTATGAGAGATGGATGATTATCTCATTCTACAAAGCAAAGAGTTGAGATCTAAAGATTTGCCCAAGATCATGTAGTTGGTAGGGTGGTAGAGCCCAAACTCCAGTCAGTTCTGTTTCATTCCTCAATCTTGCTCTTTATTCCTGTCCTTCTATACACATTTTTTCAACCCCTAGCTCACTGCCATAGTCTATCTAGTCTTTTAATAAGAAGCAGTCCTATAAAATAAGAGTCAAACACCAATTAATTCCATTCTACTCACAATATGGCCAATGGACTGGAAGTCTTCAGCTCACCAGTGGGCATGTTAGAAATACACCAACTTCCATCCCCCACCCAGACCTGCTGACTGTAATTTTTACAAGATCCCCTCTTAATCCAATTATGTCATAAGGTCTGACTGGCCCGGCACCAGGCTCCTAGAAGCCAACTTCTCAACCTGATGCTCTGTGTGATGGTCACCTTCATTCCAGACATGAGAAGAAGAGAGAGTTTTCTTTGTGCTGGTCACAGAGATATAACCACTCTAGTAAACTTTCAGGCTTTATGAAGAGTAAACATATTTAACCTAGAAAGGACTACTTAGCAATGTAATATTGAAATATTTCTCAGTTCTTTTTTTTTTAAATGCATGAGCTATTTCCATAGATAAACCAAACAGGCCTGAGAAAAACATAATGAAGAGAGTTGTTGTGATTTGAAGAGACGGATTTGAGTTTTGGAAAAGAGCAGCTTTGTTTCTTTCCCTGAAAACATAAGAATACTGAATTCTTAGCATGTTCATACAGTCTCCCTTTTATAGTATAAAGTTAGGGCAAAACCAAATCAAAGAGACACACTGTCAAAACCATCTGACCTCCAGTTGAAAATTCCCTGTAGTAGACCAATTACCAGCGTATCAGCTGTTAACCTTGCACAATAACTAAAACGGGCAGCTGCTAGTCACAGTCTTAACGGTTACAAGAGTCAAGGAAGGTCTTTCTTCTGGTGCAACCAGATCTCTTGTGAGTCATATGAAGATAATTTGTTTTAGAGCACTATTCACTTTAGAAAGGAGCAGGAAGTGGGAATAATTACCAGAGGGCTCCAAATGTCATGGCAGATGACATGTACTACCTTCCTGTCTCAATGGTATGGAGCCTGAAGCCCCAGCTCAAGGGACACACAGACCAAGCAATACTGTTTTAGAACAAGGTAACTGTACTCTGAAAGTTTTGATCTCTTGATTATTTCACTCTGTGGTTTCCTTAAAATAAACAAATTAAAAACAACACCTCCAATCAAGTGTATAACCCCATGCACCCACGACATGCCTACTGCCTTAGAAGACAACTGTGTGCTAATTTTGTTCAATTAAATGTCATAAGCCACTCAGAATGAATGTTTCCCTCTTGTTTTGTTGGAGAATTGAACACCAAGAAAAGAAAGTTGCTTAAAGTCAGAGCAAATAAAATTCCATCTGCATGGAATCTTGAAATTACAATGCTGTTCTTCAACCTGTGCCAGGTGGGAGGGTGACCTGTTTGCAAGACTATACTACAAGTCAATGACCTACTACAAACTTAAATGCTCTATAAATGAAAGAATGGATTTGCCATTTTTATGCTAGTGTATTTCATTACAGTCCAATTGAAAAAGATTTGGTATTGATGTACCCCGGGCAGGTTTCCAGACAGGATTTGATTTGTAAGAATAGCATCTTATCTAGTATGAGGGTGTACACTGCTTAGGCAGGACATCCAGAAGATAAATTTTCAAGTATTTTTATTCAAGAGATTCACAAAATATCTTTTTATTTATAAAGTTATAATTTAGGTAAATTTAGGGAAAGGGTCACACAAAAGCGTATGTACAGTCATTCACTCGGGACTACCTAGCTGTACTACATGACAGCACTTGCTCACTGCTGGACACTGTGGTCTGCCCTCAGCATGGATGCCTCTAACAGTGCCCTCACAAGTGCTTATCAAGTAGGTATCATCCCAATCTGCTTACAGGTTCAGGACCAGCCTCGGACCTACAGCCAGCAAATCTGAGTGCTAGGCTTCCACTGCTGTCCACTGAAGTCACGGAGTAATCACTGCAAGGACC